GACTCACGTATAGAACGACGCCTCCGCCGCAGACAGCCGGCACGGCGTTAGTCTGTCGTTTCTTCTTACACAACAAGAGACCGCTGCTACCGGGACCACGATCAGCTTATGAGGAGATACGAATGCGAAATCGATATAACCGTTAGGGTGCGTAGAAGGGTTCATATCGACCTATAACAGCATAATCATGGAAGCTCGTTAGGGACAGAGTCCGACAGATAAGGGCCGACCTTGTCATGAGCTGCAATGGCTGCCAAGTCCCATGCGACAACACCGTTATATTCATGGATCAGAGTTGATACTGTCGGTATCTGTTAAGAAATCACCTCAGAAGAATGTATCTCGCCCTACATCGAGACGCGCACCACAGATATTGCTACAAGCAGAAAGGACGACCACTGGTATAGCGGAATTATGGTGATGACGATTGTAATCCATGACCTGAGAAGACCGTTGTCTCATCTTGGTCGACTTCAGCCAACAATCCACCTTCTTCAGTGCTTGCTCGAGACACTCAACAGAAGCAGTACCCTTGACTGGGCATAGAGGTAGCGTCTGAGAGAAAAGGGGACGGCTGAAGTGCAAAGGGTGAGTGAGCAGCTACCACGAGTTCAACTTCAAAATCTGCGGATTCGTAACCTTTGAAGCACATGAGAAATGGCACCAGGGCTAACGAAGGATGATTCATGATGACCTTTGCATGGATTTGACCTGTGGAAGCTGGGCGGATGAGTGGATAGTTCGAAGCCAGCTCTCTGAAGGGGAGTAATGAGCTGTGATGAGCAGCCGGATCTACAATCAAAACCTGAATGGCAACGATCAAAGCTAATGTGTTTGTTAGAGATGAGCGGACCGCCCGACGGAGGCCTTTCGGAGATGCATCAGTAGCAAAGATTCGACTGCGGCACATGATTCCAATGAACCTGTCGATAGCTGCCGTAGCTCCAGCACCACAGAAGATGACTGAATGATCAAGCATGTGACCTGGCGCCTGCGGCCGGTGCACTTACCGGAGTCTTCGGCAGTACAATTGAAATATT